TATTAGACAGAGAATACTTATGCTCTATTTTGAAATTTAATGAAAATATTGTCAGAGGTGGGTTTGTTCTAGGTTTGAAGCCACACTCTCCCACAATACGCTCTATAGGACCGTATATGTCACATTGATAGAAAGTGAGAAAGAACCAAGATTTCTTCAATGCGTTTTTCTCTTGTGAAAATCTGATAGGGTTAGGAGATAGTTCTCGGATAACTGCAGTTACTAGCGATCGGATAAATTCCTAACACACATTGATAAGCTGACTAAAAGAAAAGGAACGAACGAAAAATCTCCCTTAACATGTTGAAAGATCGCAAGCTCAATGAATTCCCGTACAGATTTCAGCGTGCTCTTAAAGTAGTCTACAAAGGGGAAGAGATTGTATGTATCATTATTAAACAAATGCTTTTGTCTGGAGACTAATTTTCGTTGCTGTTGAGTTTCCTAGCGAGTATGACAGAAAAAAAATAAAAACCATTCAAAGCAACACCGCGGGGGCGTTGTAAGGCGCTTATCAGTGCACTCACACGCTGCATTGTGTCTTTTTTTTTTTTTGATTTTTGGTAAAATCTCTGGACACACCATTGTTTGGTTTGGATGATGAAATCAGTCGTATTACACCGATCACGTGCTAAGCATGAGGGCCAGTAGCGAGATATGGCGTATGGTCACACGTTCAGGTCTAAATTATTTGAGGGCATACAATTAAAATGTTTGTGGATTTCGACTGCAATCGTAAAGCAGTCAAGCTAAATTTATAGATACTGTTGTTTTTTTTTTTGTTTTTTTTTTGTTTTGTTCTAATATTTTTGGGTAAATATTTGCAAAGATTGAAAACATAAAATATATAAACTGAAAAATATTAAGTAGCGATAATAAGTTTTAATTGATAAATTTTTACATTCTCTGAAATTTTTACTATTCCTCTTATTACAGAAGCAACAACAAAGCAGCAACAACACAGCAGCGCCACCATAGGGCTGAAATTTTCCCAAAAACGATACCATTGAATGCAAATACAGATTGTCAAAACGAGATGAGATAATGTAAAATTAAAAACAAACAACTGCCGTCGAAATAAAAACTGGACGGCATATTTACAAAACAATGGCAGTGAATGTCATAAAAACCGCTATTTAATGGCTATATATATGTATATAAAAATTTGTGTGTTGGTTGGTCAAGAGGATACGTAATATTGAAGGCTGCAAGCAAGAAAGTGCTGATGCTCACGAAAAGACGTATGTGGAAATGAATGAAAGCATTGCCTAAATAAAGTACAAAAGCAAGTAAAATAGTTGTTTGTGTTGCTGCTTTTACCGTTTATGGTTACTAGATGTTAACCAGATGCAGCAAATTGCGACGAAGAATTATAAAGAAGTACCTGCGTAGGAGAAATTGAAGCGGACCGGAAGCATTTGCGTGCCAAAAATATGCGGAAAAGCGAAAAAAATAAATGAAAGTATATATGTATATATATATACATATATATATATATATATATACACATACGCATGTATATAAAAGTCAGATAAATAAATAAAAAAAATTGCGTGATACGTAGATGGCTAAGGCATAATACAAAAATAAACGAAGGCTTTTATTCTAACTAAAACTCGAACAAAAAGTGAATGAAAAAGAGCATGGAATAATAGCTAAAAAAAAAATAAATATGTAGTAAATTAAGAAATTAAACAAAACAATGTTTAAAACAATACAAATACAATACAAATTCAGTAAAAAAAGAGCAAACAGAAAAACATTAAAAACAAAAAATTCCATATAAATGCTTATGTATAAATAACAAATTAACAAAAACAACACATATACAAAACGTGCAGTAAAATTTTGTTAAAAACAAACAATCTAACCAAATTAAGTGCAAAAACTTCATCGATATAGAAAAGACAGTCCATATACAAAGTGATAATAAGAAATTGTAATACAAAATAAAATATAAAACTAATAATAATTTAAATTAAATTAAATAAAATGTAGTTAAATAGAACACAAAATATAAAAGAAAAAATATTTAAATCAAAAAAAAAATATTTTTTATTGCTTTTAAAATAAAAAAAAAAATTATATGAATTAAATGAAAAAACATTAATTAAAATAAAATATCTCAAAAATATCATACAATAAAATAAATTAAAATAAAATAAAAAAAATAAAAAAAAGAACAAACTGAATTAAGAAAAAATAAAATAAACTAAAATTAAATATAATAAAATAAAAATATAATAAAGTAAAAAAGTTAAAAGATGAAGATAAATAAAACAAAAAATAAGAAATATATAAAATAAAAAATAAAAACAATTGAAAAAAGCAAAACATAAAATATTTGTAAAAAAATTTAAATAAAAAAATTACGAACAATTGAATTTAAAGTTAATATAAAATTAAAATTAAATTAAATTAAAATAAAATAAAATCAAATAAAATAAATTAAAATAAAATAAAATAAAATAAAATAAAACAAATCAAGTAAAATTTAAATATAAAATTAAAGTAAAAACAATTTTAAATAAAAAATTTGATTTCAAAACTAGAACAACATAATATAAAATATTTACATTTAAACTAATTAAAAAAAATTACTACAAATTTTAATTTAAAACTTAGTTCAATGAAAATAAATCAAGTAATTAAAAAAAAAAAATAAAAAAAAAAATAAAAACAGTAAAAAATTAAATCAAAAGAATTAACAGAAATTAAATTACGGAAATATTATTAAATACAATAATACATATTGAATAAAAGTAAACAAATAAAGTCAAAGAAAAGTGATATAAATAAAAACTAAAATTAACTTTAAGAAAACAAAGAAAAAATATATGTTTAAAAAAATTTAAAAAAATGGTAAATAATAATAAAATTGAATGCAAAAATAATACAAAATAAACAAGAATAGACTTAAGTCAAATCAGATGCAAAATAAAAAAAATACTTTAAAAATTTCAATTAAATTACTGAAATAAAATTTAAACAAAATAACATATATTTTAAAAAGAACAATAATTAATAATAATAAGTAAAAAGAGATACAAAATTTAATAAATATTTAAAATAAATCAAATAAAAGTGATTAATATAAAATAAAGATTTGCTAAAGTAGGAAATATTCAAATAAATAAAAGAGCACCGAAAAGATAAAATCCAATATAACAAATTAATAAAATTAAAACAGCATTAAAAGCAACCATCGCAGTCAAGCTAAAGTGGAGCTACTAAGAAAACAATCAAGTTATAAATTATATACACAGAACCAACGAAAGAATTTAACAAGACCTGCTAAGGAAGTACTTGGAGGCGAAAGGGGACATACAACGTGAAATTTGTTATAGACAGATTCCCAATATAAATAAATCAACACAAATAAAAAATCAGCGATCCAACTAAGAAGACGCGTTTCATTAAGCCGCAAAGCAGAAGAAAAGGCGGCAACCTTCAAAATACAACTGAACACAATAAAACCCCCGAACTAAGTTAAACAAATGTATTTATTAAGCTAATTTTAAATGACCAAGCCAAAATCTTACCGAAACAAGAAAGCACAATGAATTAAGACAGTGCAAGTAAAAAATAAAAACAGATAAAAAGATATACTGGGCGCGTCCAGTCGGACAACGTATGCGAACACGTCGACGCGGCATGATCGGTTAAGTCAATTGAAAGCGCGCGTCGCATCAACACCTTTTTAAAAAGCCAATTTGTGATACTATGTGATGAGAGTAATAAAAACTACAACAAGCGATTCAATTAATCAATTCATAAATTTTGCAACAAAATAATATAGGAAAAGCGGTGTCCATATATACATACATATATGCGTATACATGACGCTAGCTAACAATTAAAGATACAAATGTCAATAAAGTGAGAAAAAAGAAGAAGAGAAAGAATAAGAACAAGAGGAAGTCATAGTCACTTTGCGATAGCGAGCGTCAACGAATGGTCACAGCATAAAAGCGTTGATTGTGATGGTTGGAGATATCTACATCTCGTGTATCGCGCGACTCCTACTACAGAGTAACCGACAGACAGATAACAACAAAAACAACAATCAAACCATAGCTATGCCAATTTAAAATATACATATGTACACACCACATACAAGTATATTTGTATAGTTAGCATGACTTATCGTTTCCCGACGTTGGGCTATCACCCGCTCAATTATTTACGCGTATGCCGCGTTTGAAAAGTGCAAATAATATATACACACACACACACACACCCCCAAATACAAAAGAAAATCAGTGCGTCGACTCATCCAACCACTCATCGTGGGAATTTATACAAAGAATCAGCCGTTGGACTTCGTAACGTCGGCTGACTGTCGACAGAGTGCTGACTGAGCAACGGTCTAATTGAATTTTTACGACACTCAATATGCTCAATGCGCTCTTTGCATGAGTTGAAATTAGCAACTGAGAGCGTCTAATCGTTAATATGAGCGCACATATATACAAATATTACTCTATACTTTATTGAACGCGAGTGCGATCGCCAGCAACACCAGTGGGTGGCTCTGCGCGCGCTCAGCACATCGTTTTTCCCGCTGCTGCAGCTGCTGACGCTGCTCAACTGTTCAACAGTACGTTGGAGCGCTCGCGTTATTATGCGCTCCCCAACATTGGTCATTTAAACATTTGGTTATATTACATCTACAGCGCGCGGCGTATGCTCCACAGTTTTGCTTGAAACGTTTTGGAGTGAAGATCGTTGAAGTTGAAGAACGGTATAAATCAAAATTCGAAAACGCACGATCAGAAACGTCAAAAACGATGATATGTCGGAAAAATAATGCAAAATATTTAGTGAAAAATACACATATGTACATGCATATATAATATATTAAGTGAATTTCATGTGAAAAACTGCAAGCTGAATGAAATGCAAGGTGAAAACGCATAAGCAGCGCTAAATTGAAATAAATAAAAAGCAACAACAAAACATGATGAGTTTGAAATTTAAATTTTGAAAAGTGTTCCAAAGTGAAAAATACAAACAAATAATACAAATTAAACGCTTAATACAACTAATTAAAAAAAAACATTAAAAACATAAAACATCACAACAAAAAGTTTGTTTAGCAAAAGCCAATGAACAGCCAAGGGCCAATAACAAATTGTATTGTGAAACAATGAATTTCAAAGCGTGAATTTGTGTTTGAAAATTCACAAAAATTTCGTGGCGTGTGTAGACTTAAAACAAGCAAAAAAAAAAAAAAAACAACAATAAGTGAACGGAACATAGCAAGAAAAAAGCGTCAATTAAATACAAACTGGATATGAATTGAATTCGCTTTTGTGAGTTGTGCATAAATTTGAAAACGAGAAATTCAAAAATACAAATCGAATGCAAAAATTCGAAAAAGTAAAATAAACAACTAGTTTAAGATAAATAAAATCCCCACCAAATGGTACAAGCAGTAAGCGAAGTGAGTTTAAGTGATTGATGTTACAAAGCAGTTATTGATATGCGAGTATGTAAAATAGTTGAAACAAATATACTTATATAAAACCAAAGCGTAAAAATAAAGCTTTAAACAGATTGTCAAAGTTTCAAAATATATTCAGAAGGAAATAAATATATATACGTGTATACAGCAGCCAAAGAAAACACCTTCGTCAAGGAAACAATTTAAAGTGAAACTCGAAACTTGAACACAACTGAGTACCGTTAAAAGGTTCTGACAAACATAACTGAATAATTTAAATTATTTGAAATAAGACATTTCATTTTTGAGGTGCTTCAGAGTGTACAAATAAAGTTGGCGAGCGAGACAACTCTTGCAACAATAAAAAAAAATTTACCAAAAAGCGCAAGCAAAACTTTAATAGCCATTCAAGAAGAAGAAGAAGCTGAAGCAAAAGACAAGTGACTAAGCTGAAAGTAAGCCGAACACTGTTTAGTTGAGTCGGGCAAAAAACTTTCCGTCATAAAGGCAGTGGAAAAAAAGTGAAGAAAGTGAAAGAAATTTAGCGCGAGCCTACGCGCATACAAACGAAACGGGAGTGCCTAGGCGTGAAAATTCGCAAAAAAAAGAGCGCTGAAATACAAAAAAAGAGGCAACTAACAAATACCATACAACAACAACGACAACACCAAATACAAATAAAAAAGAAATAAAAAATAAATTTGCATTTGTTTGAAGTAAACGCCACACCGCCGCGCCCACAAACGTTGACTAAGCGCGTTTCAAGTGAATAGTAAAATAAAGCACGAAAAAAAGAAACTTTTTCACCAACATTAAAAAAAATAAAATTGTTTTTGAAAATCATAGTGTTTGGCAGCGCATTTAAGAACGTGCACACTAACGCGCGTGCGCTCGCTTTGTTTTTGTGCCAATCTCTGTTGTCTTCTTGGTGTACCAATGCCGCGTAAGTTACTTCCGTACAACGGGATTACATCATTGAACATTTCGCAGCAACAGCAAAGACAAAAACAACAACATATTCAAAGCACACATAGACAATTTAAGCAAAAAGTTATTGTGTGTAGCTGAGTATCGCTCCAAGCAGTAACAGCAACAAGAAGAAGTAGAAGAAGAAGAAACCTTTTAGCAACACATGCTAAACACCCCAACCCGCCACTGCAACAAATAATGGCCATAGATTTTCTCATACTCACACTACTACTACTCTCTTTCGTCATCAATTTGCTGGCTTTGGGCGCTTTCTGGGTCACACCGGGACTGCGCACCACTGCCAATCGTTTCACCATCAATTTGCTCGTAATCAATCTGATTGGTTGTCTTATATTAGCACCAACGCTGTTCCTTAGTCAATCAGCGTCGTCAAACGTGTCATTAGCGCCCGCGCCGACGGAAGATGTCGCTAATGCATCCACACCCACAGCTAGCGCTGAGTCAGCAGCGGTCGAAGCGTTATCCTCCAGCCTTTCACTCGCCGCTTCGGCAAGCGACGATCGCATCGAAATACTCGCCAAACCGGGCAACCGTCAGATGACAATTAAACATAACGGCAAATTGGTGGAGCAGGAAGGCGTTATTGTGCGTCGCAATTTGACGGGCGCACAAGATCCGCGTACAATTGAGACGATATACAAATGCAATTCCACGTACTGCCAGGAGCTGACCATCGACGAGGGTACCGATACGATTGTTATCACTGAAATCGAGGAAGCGAATCATCACAGCGGTGCGGAGACAGTGAGTGAGGCGCATTCAAGTGTGGTGTCAGCGCTGCTACCGCGTCCACACATACGCTGCTGGTCAATTGATATGGCAGCGGCATTGGGCGCACTCGGCGTGCTGCTCGTTGTCGGCGACACTTGGTGTGCGGTCACCGATCCACTACGCTATCATACGCGCATCTCCAGTCTCAAAACATGGGTCTTCATTGCGCTCACCTGGTTGGTGGGCTTGATGTTTGGCGCTTTGTCGGCGTTTCGTGAAATTGACTTCACCTCTACAACAGTGCTGCATGAGCGTCAAGGTTTTGCCGAGTTGAGCATGTCGTCAGCGAATAGTATTTTTGGCATCACCTTTGCCTGTGTTTACTTCGTTATCATCATACTGCTGCCATTTGGCTTTGTTTGCGGTATGTATTGGCGTATTTTCAGCGAAGCGCGTGAGAATGGCTTACGAATGCGTCAGAATGGCTCATCACCGCTGCTACAGAGTGCGCTTAATTTAACACACAATCAGCAGAGCTCATCGCTGCAGTATGCAAATATGTGCGCACATCGTAACTCCGTATCATCAGCGTCGTCGAATGGCGGTAGTAGCGCTTGCGAACGTGGCGGACTTCAAATGCAGATCGACCAGCGTCGCAGTTCACCGGTGTGCGCGCGTCGCGACTCTGCAGCCAAAGTGTTGCTGCCAACCATCTCCGATGATGGCTTATCCGATGAGGCGGCACAACTGGAATCCGGCGACTTCAACACCGAACCGTTGGTTCCACTAACGCAGCAGCCAAACTATGCAGATCGTAATCAAAATATACTGCTGACACTGCAAACAGCCAGCGGCGAGATTAAACGCAACTACTCAGCGCGTCAGCTGCCATTACTCGGCACCTCCTCGCAAGATCTGCAAGAGTCGCATGGCTTGCAGGGTGTACGTCAGGTGCACTCCTCGCCAAATCTGCACAAGTATACGCAAGATGCCCTCGAACCGAATTGCTCACCACATCTGCTTGGCCATCAGCAATTGCATGCGCAACAACACACGCCCACCGTACGTCATCAACAATTCATGCCGCAAAACTCGCACAATCGCACACAACACTCACATGTATTGCAAATTCCCTGCCTGCAACATGGCTCACCGAAAGCTCTCAGCTACATGTCCACGTTGCGCCATCGCCTCTCGAATGCCTCCTCGCTGTTCAAATATCGCGAGGAGTCCCGCACCGTACGCATCAGTATACTGGTGATTATTATGTTCCTGGTCTCATATCTGCCTTACGGCTTCTTGGTACTGCTACAAAGTCGCATGGCGAGCGCCAACTTCGAACATTCCACACAACTTGCCATCTTCATGCTGCTTCTGGGCAATCTCACTTCACCCTTCATCTTTGCCTATCGCAACAAGCGTGTACGCCGCGGCGTTAAACGCCTATTTGGCTTTGAAGCCAGTACACGTGAACGTAGCTTACAACGGCAGAGCAGTTCAAGTGGACGCGGTAGCGGTTTTCTCAATCGCCATTGCGCCGGCACGCGCAGTGGTGCGAACATCAGACGCAACATTAGCAAATTGTCAACGCATTCGCTCAACTCCTGCAAGTTCCTAACGCCGCAGAATTCACTCAGTGGCGCAGTACCGCCGCCAACTCCGGCCGCAGTGGGTGCATCGAATAGACATAGCAGTCCAGCGCGTATACATGGACTGCGTCCGAATAGCAGTTGTAGTACGATCATCAATTTTAGTGCGCCGCTGGCAAAGGAAACGACGCCACCGTCACATCAGCATCAACACCAACACCAACAACAACAACAACACCACCACCACCACCACCATAAATCCAACACAGCAGTAGAGGCTAATAAACAAAAGACTGTGTCGGTAGAGCCGACGTCTATAACAACAACAACCACAACAACAACAACGACAAAACACTGCGACACTATCCATCCAGCAATGAAGACGACTTTTATCTTGAACATGAATGGCAATTCTCCGAATGGTACAGCGCGCATTACACAAACAACAGCGACACTACCAGCATTGAATGGCAAATTTGAGGCTAAGCGCAGTTTATTTAAGATCTTCTTTCAGAGTTCAAAGAATTTGAGCTGTGCCGCAGCGCAGTCATGCGCGCAAGGCAAGGAGACTGAAGTGGAGCCGGCAGAAGTCTGAAATGGAACAGCCCAAGCGAGGGGCATAGCGAAAGTCAGTCTCAGACTCAGTCTCAGTCCAAGGTGCGCAGACAACTTGGCAGCCACAGTTGGATGTCGCCGATAGCTATTCAGCATGCTCAATCTCTACGGTCTAGTCGCGCATTAGCTGGTTATCAAAATGCCAGTGTAGTGTTGAGAGGCACGTAACATAGGTATGTAGTAGCAGATCGCCGTTGGCAGCTGGAACAGCAGTAATTCGAGTGCTAACGCAGCTCACCGAATGGGCACAGCGACAACCGTCGTCGTCATCATCAACAGACCAGTACCGTCCAGCACCGCCACAGCAGCCAATTGGTTGTGTTTGTGGTAAGCGAGCGTGTTGTTGCTGTTGTAGACAAAAAGCAGAAATACAGTAACCAGTCAGTATTCCAATATATGTATGTACACTTTTTATGTGCTAATAAATCCTAAAAAAAAAAGCTAGCAGTAATTAAATAGATCTAGTTCTACATATAAATGCGAAACCACAAAGCCAGCCACTTTCTTGGTGGGCGTTTAAGCGCAAACGTGCGCGGCGAATTGCACGCTTGACTTGCTAAAGTTGTAGATTGGTGATAAATACACATGTACAAATGTATACATATATATATATGTGGTATGTATGTATAATATTATGTGCTTTTATCATAATGACAGCTTTTCTTTTGCCACTTGCCTAAGCCGGCCAAAAAGTGCTTGAGCGCGGGATAACAGTAAAAAAAAGATTCTATAAATAATTATTTTTTCAAAGTAAAGAAAAAGAGGAAAAAATAGAAAGTCACTCAGCTTATAAATTTCGAAAAGCGTGAAAGATGTAATAGTAATGCTTTTATCAAATTTTGTTTATCTAAATTTTTTCTTATGAAAATAGTTTTTTTTCTTTCATATGCTAGAGAAAAGACTAAACAAATTTTGTATATATGTAAAAACAAAAACATGTATGCGCATAAATATATATACATATGAATGTGTTTACGTATCATTGCTCTTGGCTGGCAGTATCACAAGTGGTTACTTAGCGACCTGAAGGGCAAAGAAAAAATATAAAAAGATAAATTAAATAAAAAAATTTAAATAAAAAAATTAAAATTAATAAATAATTAAATATAAAGTGCAAGCACTCTGGGCCCGTACTGCGCTGCTTTCAAGTTATTAGTTATTTTTTTTATTTAATTTTATTTAAGCATATTTTTTCATATTATATGTTTGCACAAGTGACCTAAAAAAACATGTGAAAAATTAGCAAAATTATATAAAATTGTATGGAAAAGCTTAAAAAAAATTAACAAAAGTCAAATTAAATTAGCCATTTTTTATAATAGTTTAACCATCAAAAAACTAAGAACTAAAAAAATTAAAAAAAATGCAATATTAAAAAAAAGCTCGAAAAGTAAAATTTCCAAACTCGAAATTTAAAAATAAAAAAAATTCAAAAAAGTATATTTACAAAATTAAAAATATAAAATTTAAAATTAAAATGTTTGAAAATTAATATTTAAAAATAAAATTAAAACTAAAATTTCTAAATGCAAATTAAAAAATTTCAAAAGAAAAAAAATTATCTTTAAAAGTAAATATATGATATTTAAAATAAAAAAAATTCAAAAACTAAAATTTCTCAATTCAAATCTTTTAAAATAAAAAAGTATAATATTTAAATTCAAAATGCAATAAGTGAAAATTAAAAATTCACAAATTTTGAATTTACAAAATTTGAATTTACATAAAAAAAATTTAAAAACAAAAAACTATTTAGATTGCTAAAATAATAATAAAAAAACGAGCTTTAAATTAGTAAAATCTGCAAACATTATACTAAAAAGAAAAACATATTTTTCACGCCAAAATTTAAGATAATTAAAAACGCTTAAGCATAGAGTTGTTGCAACAACAATACACACAAGCGTATATACATACAGAAGAACATATTGCACAGCTCGTACAATTTTTTCAAAAATCACGAAAAAAAAGTAACAATTTTTTCCAAGAAGCTCTAGTGCTTCTGCACCCAGTCGAACTATTTTTGTAGCGCTTTAATATGAAAACATGCAAGCTTACTATCTATATGTACATACATACAATAGTAAACATTAAGTGAAATAAATTTTCCTTGCCACTTTTGTACGCTACAGACACAAACCAAACGAACCAAAAAAAAAAAAAAAAAAAAAAAAAAAAAAAAAAAAAAAAAAAAAAAAAAAAAAAAAAATGAAAAAAAGGAAATTATTTTTTGCTCTTGGTTGAATTGGAAATTTCTCAATTACAATAGCTAATCGTGATTACATAAAGAAAAGCAAAAGCATTTAATTGATCTTTCCGTTTTGAAAACTACAACGTATAAAGAAAAGCTTTAATTAACAAAATAGTAACATTCTAATATAGTAAATCATTAATATGTATGTATGAATAAATGATTTATATATATACATACATATATACATATGCATTTCCACATTTAGATTCATTTCATATACACGTGTAATGGTAGAAGAAGAAAATTATACATACCTGAAACCATGCATACATATATGCTCATATATATATATATATATATATATATATATTATGTACTTGCACCCAAACAAAGAACGATAGCAATGCATACAAAGCTAATTAAACCGAAATAAAATTATATAGCGAGTTTGATGCGTGGAGTAGAAGAAGAAGAAAAAATGTAAGCTGAAATGAAATGATAATAAACTGTATTGAAAAAAAAAAACAGCAAATGAAAACGAAAACGAAACGGAAACAAAGCAGTAAAAACCAAAAACAAAATATATTAAAAATTAACGCATTTTCTTTGCCTTCTACACGGCGTAGAACATAAACAAAGAACTTGCCCGTAATTATAATATAATTAGCAAACAATTAAATCATGGCAAAATTACTGTTAAAATAAACGCAAGTTTATTTAATTTGTATATCTTTAAATATTTTTTTTCAAATCGTACATATGTTTAAATTTAACAAACATGTATGTAGCTATTTTTAGTTAAATACTGTCAAATCGCAATTACAGACCAACAAATATTTTTACATTTATTTCTTTTACTGCTTTATATTTTTTTTCTGCATTAGCATAATTTTTCTTGTTTTTTTTTTTTCATTATATACTCGTACAGTAAAAATGTATGTGCATAGCAGTGGTATGTGTTTACATATGTATATATATTTTAAGGCATACCTTTGTTATTGGCTCATATCTAACATTCACCTGTCATTTTATAATGCAATTAAAACTATGCGTTTACACACACATATGCACATAAGCATGTGTACATGAGCATATTAATGTTTAGCCATTTAGCTTATAGATAAGCACAGTAGGTAGCCAATGTTGAAAAATGTGCTGCGCGTTTGGCGTTAAAATTCAAATATAATTTACTTTTTCTTAATTTTAATTTGAAGTTTATTTAAGGAAATTAAATTTTTTTTTGTTTTTTTTTGGTATATATAAAATGAAATACTTTTTAAAGCAAAATTTACACAATTTAAATGCTTAAAATTAAATAATTTGCATTAACTGTCTATACAGAAAGACACAAAGAAGAACACCACTCAAGCAGTATTAGAAACAGTACAAATTATTCAAACAAAAAAAATAGTAAACAAAACATAAAAAGCACGCATATCAAGTTGTCAAATTTTTCATATTTTTTCAAGGCTTACAAATGTATATAACAAGCGATTTTAATTTGAACAAAATAAAACAAATATTTTAAATTATTTAAATAAACATATAGAGCGTCGAATAATTTGTATTAACTTTTTGTATTTGTTTTGCTTAAGTGTGACCACTGTAAGCACACGAGCATATGTCGTTTATGCAATACATGAATTTCGTCAGAAACTTGCGATTTGATTTTCATATTGAAAGTCTAGCCAAGACATAAGGGCGAAGGGAAAGGAAGAAAAGTATAAAGCATTTTCTCTGATCAATAAGTTTTTCGTTTTACAAATGAAATAAAAAACTTTTTTCTTAAAGAAAGCAAGTAAATTAAACTAAAAAAATAATGTAAAATAAAATAAAATTATATAAAAATACTTTTGTTAAACAAAAAAAAAATAAATAAAAAAAAATAAAATAAAATAAAATAAAATAAAATAAAATAAAATAAAATAAAATAAAATAAAATAAAATAAAATAAAAAATAAAATAAAAAATAAAATAAAATAAAATAAAATAAAAAAAATTATATAAAATATAAACAAAGTAAAATCATCAATCTTGCATACATTGCCTTCTTTGTTCTCATTAACTAGTGCATACATGTATGCATGTATGTATATATGTATATATAGTACAAGTATGTTTGTATGTAATCAGCATCAATGTGAAATAGTCAATTTATTGTTGTGATTATTTAATTGAATAAGAATTATGAAATATTTAGTATTGTAATGTTAGCGTGTAGCATGAAAAATACCTCATTAGTTTTTTTTTTCATTTTGTTTTAATCATATAAACCAAAGTTAGATTTGTGCACAACAATGCAAAAACTAAAACAAAAAGAAAGAAAACAAAATTGCACAATTGAATATTATTACACATACAAATGCGTCCGTTTGATGAACAATTACATTTGTCTGCTGTGTAGTGAACCAAAGTGGAAAAAATGTACATAGTTAAATGCATAAATTAAATGTATACGGTATACATACACATATACTCGTATTTCATATGCATATAAATGTTTATCGATATTTGAAATCAGCGCAAGGCCCACTAATAAAAATAAAGCACATACACTAAGCACTAAGCTCAAAGAGAAAACTACATTAAACAATAGCATTAAATGGTAAGATTTTGATGAAAATGTAATATTTGCAAATTGTGCTGAATTCATTTGAAATATGCTGAATTTTTACTCAAATTATGAAATACAATTTTTGTGAGCTTAAATTAGATGAAAACTGTAGCTGTACTTGTAGAAAATGGCGCTGAATATGTCGAAAAGTGCTTAATTATGTAGTTATCAATTGGGAAATCGGGTGCTGAATATGCTGAATAAAGTTCGTAAAAGCTGAATAATGACACAATTATTGTATGAGCATAGAATTATGGTTTAAGCGTGCAAATAAAATAAAAAAAACAATTGAAATTTAAAGTGATTTGTATTTGAACATAAAAAACCAAACAAGAAACGATGGATTTCATGAAACAAATCAAGAAAAGTCATAAGCCATATGCATTCAAACTACGTAAAGCTTTACTAATATATTTATTTTAATTTATATTAAATGAAAAGTCAAATGTGTATTATTTTTTAATGAAAAATAGCGCATTTTAACAATATTTTTTTTTGTTACAACTACTCTTTTTTTGTATTAAACAAAATAATTTTTTTTTATAAATTTTCATAGAACTCGAATGTTCTTCTCAAATGAATTGTTTTAGAATGAAAATGATCAGGTATGTCTATGATGTAGTGCAAATGTGTGAAACGAAAATACAAAGATGTTATGTATAATAACAAAAAAAAAAATACATAAAAATAATAAATAAACAAGAAGAGAAATTTCAAATGAAAAGCCAAATGTGATGTTACAACAATTATTTTTTAACAAAATTTTACCAACTAATTATTTAAATAAATAGCTTTAATAACAAAGAAATTAACAAATTTAATATATCTAATAGATCTAATAGATAAAAATGAAAACTATCTATGTCTACGACTGTCTATGAAATAATAATTAATTCTAAGCTAAAATATATAGAT